GAAATATGTAACTGGAGCAACCTCATTTCCACTTCAGGCCCAAGTCTATTACACTATAGTTAATGATGGGTTGCATGTAAAATGGATTGTTTAGTCAGCTATTTCATTATTACCACTCAAAAGGAAGTCAGTACTAACTTATTAATTTAAAATGAATAGATATTGCTACTGGTAATATTTATATAGCACTTTTCCAATTGCTTGAAATAGCCTGTTAATAATTTATAAGGTATTTTAATCAAAGAAATATTGAATGATAGACTCTTGGGGCTAAATGGAACAACAAGAAGTCATTTAATCCATCTCCTTACCTTCAAAGAGAATGACTTATTCTATCCCAGCCAGATAAAAATCATCCTCTTCCTCTTCCTCTCTTTCTCCTCCCCATTGTTGTAATCCAAAAAAACTTTTAAAGTGCTGATGTTCTGTAAATGGAGCTGCATTTGGCATCTATAGGCCTTTAAAGATTTAATACAATGCAGAGACAAAGTACACATAAAATCTGAAGTACTGCATACACAAATAGCTTAAGAAAAATGCTACACATAAAATGACAGCAAAAAGTTTTTTCTTTCCATTTATCTACATAAACATTTTTCAGCCCAGGTAGATAAATATAGACTCAGATAAACATAACTATACAAGCATATGTGTATATGCAGTGAAAGAAAAGAGCTGGGGGAGCATAACAGCTTTCAAATATTTGAAGGACTGTTATGAAGAAAAAAAAAAGGTTAGATTTGTTCTGTGTAGCTTCAGGGTAGAACTGAGACTGGGATGCAACAGGTGGAAGTTTCAAGGAGGCATATTTCAGTTTAAATTTAGGAAGAAATACTTAGACTCCTTCAAAATAAATGGACTTTGTCATTGGAGTTACTATAGAGAGGACTCCAGATTAGCTTAGATGACCTCTAAGTTTCTTTCCAACCCTGTGACACTGAGCCATATGTCAAAAATTACATATATTTGGAGGATGTAGAGGAAGAGAAGTGAATTTGATAGGTAAAGAATTATTAGCTGCTATGGTTGTTTTAGGTATGGGCTGGGTACAGTCCTGGGAAACTGTTAGGTCTGTTGCTAAATGTGAGATTCTCATATGAAGAGGGCAGGATTGAGTGGAATGGGAAGGCACTCAGGAGCTATATTGGGGAGAAGAATACGACTATTTCAAAAGTCATAGTTAGAAAGGTGACATCCCAGAATTAGGCTGATTGAATATGGTGGCATGGACGCTTGCCACTGGAGGAACAGGAGATGAATAACATCAGACAATTATAATCCAAGGTATCTTGGAAAATAACTTGAAGCATTAGGTGAAAAAATTTTAATTTTGTACATAATGAAAAGGAGAATAAGCATGATTAAAGCAGTGAGAGAAAGAGTTTCTGTTTAATAAATTGCTTGGTTTTAAAGAAGAGTCTAGAAAGAAGAGGTTAGTAGTAGGAGAATCCAGCAGAGTGACATGAGCCTCAACTAACAGTGTCCAAAATAACACTGTCCATAAAGACGTAGAAAAGAGGTGGACATGGGAGATGATGTAGAAACTAAAAATATGGCAATAGCCTGGAAATGCTGACTGGTGAAAACAAGGATCAATATAGTATTGCTCACAAGCTCTTTGCTTTTGGAAACAGTGGTACTGGTCCCATTATAAGGAGGGAAGAATCCTTAACAGCTGAGTCTTGGGTAAGGTTGTCCCCAGGCCACTTACTTAGTCCTAGCTCCTTTGTTTTTGTTTTGTTTTGTTTTGTTTTCTGGTCCTGAGGATTGAACTCTACCACTGAGCTATAACCCCAGCCTCCCACTATTTCCCCTGGTTTCTTTTTTTTGGTACTGGGGATCCAACTTGGGACCTTGCGCTAGCAAGGCAGGCGGTGGCATCACTGAGCTAAATCACCCCTGCCCTATTTACCCTGGTTTCTGCCCCTGCCTTGAGCTTCCCAGCTGCCTTCAATTGAGATTGAGATGCTACTACTTGCAATTATTTTAAATGCTGAGCCAAGCTGCTTATGTTAATCTTTAAATAATTATCCGGTAAGTCATTTTGGCTTATTTATATTGAGGTGAGGTAGTTTCCCCATACCAACCAGGTCTTTTCCTATTTATACACTGCTTCCAACTTCTCAGTCTGAAAGCTCCCATTTCACTTTGAAAACAAACGAGCAGAAAATGTGTAAACATAGATCTACACTTACAGGATATTTATTTGTCTGGGAGGCCAAGGCAGGAGGCTCTTTTGAACCCAGGGCCCAGCCTGGGCAATTTAGTGACTCCCTCAGTGAAACCTGTCTCAAAAAAAAAAAAAAAATTGAAAAAGAGCTGGGGATGTAACCCACTGTGAAGACCTGGGTTCAATATTCAGAACCTCCCCCATGCACATAAAGAAGCCATAGTAAGGGAATCTTTGTATGCAAAATAAAAATACTATGAAATAATTCACATCAGGTAGTCAGGTAGGAATGACAAAGTGATATATGATTCTTCATTTTATATATATAAACAATTAATAC